GCGTTACAAAAACAACTTTTCGTATTCAGGAGTGGTGGGGGTGTGGTTGTAAAAATGTAAATCGGTCATCATAACGAGATTGATTCTTTTTACGTATCCCAGTGTTTTCTCATATTTGCTGTTTACATGAGAGTAAAAGGGAATCGAACAGGGCGAACAGTGAAAGGTCTCAAGATTCCTATCTTCTGGAATATATCTCCGTTTAGTCGAGTGAAAGTTAACCGGTATTTTGAAGAAACATCTCCATCTTCAAGGTCGAATAGTAAACCACGTAAGAAGCTGCCAGTAAGCAGAGCGGCTTAGCTTACTCTTCGATCCTGAAATCGGAGATGACATGTTCCTCCGAAGCTTCGGTTGACGCTAGGTGGACCACATGGCACTATATACCACAAGATAGAAGTCTTAGTCACCTCAGTGAGAACCCCAAATCCGACACACAGTGAACGGGCTGCTAGATAACTAAGACTCCATGTAAAAAAAAAGACGCAAATTTTTGGCAGCTTTCTTGCTGATAATGAGCTTCCGAATTAATATACAGACGGATCTAAAATCGTCTTTGTTTTCCGATTTTGACATTAATTTTCTTGTCTTTGTGACCATTATTGAACTTTACAGGCCTTATTCTCATACTCTTCGGGCACGCGATAGCGTAGTTGGTTGAGGCACTATGCTACAAACCGGAGGTTCCGGGTTCAGTTCCCGATGAAGTCATTCGACTTTTCAGTGACCTAATCTTTCCAGCCGTACTGTCGCTCTGGGGTCGACTCAGCCTCTAACAGAAATGAGTACCAGTAATCTTCCTGGAGGGTAAAGGGCGGCCGGCGCGTAAGGCTGACGTCGCCATTTGTGAGCGGATTATCTAGAAAATAGGAAACCTGGACATCTTAAAACCCTATGGGCCTCCACGCCCTGGTACAGGGATAGCTTTACCTTTTACCTTTTATTCTCTTACTCTTCCATAGACAGGATTTAACTTGTCGGTATCCCTCATGCGTAGGTGGCGGTATATAAGGTGTTTAAAAATGAGTTCGTTCCTTATAAAGGTATGTTGGAGGTAACTCTTGGAGTTTAAAAGTCCATTGCAGTTTGCCGAAAAGTTCTTCGTTTTGGAGCTGTGTGGTTGCAGAAGTTGCTCCCGGCGACTACCCGCCTAAGCTAAGACATGATTGATGCATGTAATTAGCAACCAGATTGCATTGTACATATAGTCAAGAAGAGTGGAAATGTGTACTCATTTTCACTTTCGTTGCCATTTTGCATGCCTTATAGGGCTTGTTTTCATGGTTATTTAGCGACGCTTTGAATATCGAGACCATAGCGTTGGATATTACGGGGATTGATAAATGATGATGATTTGGAAAGGATTTGGAAGTATACGGTGGTGGACAAATAGAGATATTTACCCGGAATTTGACTGAGGGACTGAGGAAAACCACTATTACGACTAGCCAGGGCAGCCGGTGTCCCAGCCGAGATTCGAATAAGCACCTTCGGAATACAGGTTCAGAAGAGTGTTACCTCGAGGCCAACCTGTTCGGACCTTTTTGTACAATTATAGAGCAGCTGTTACGAAAACAATCGCATAATGATATCGCACTACAACATTATCAATTATATTGAATTGTATTGTGGTGTATTTGCTCAAAACAAGAACTGCGGAGGCAGAGAAACAGCCGTTGCTAGGTAATGGCCCGTACACACGCAGCAGAAGAACGCGGCACGTACGCTGTGACGTCACGAAATAATAGAAAAGGTTCTACAAACGGCGTTTTCTGTGGATCCGCGTCGCGCTTGTCGCCACGCAAGTGTACGGTAAACACATCTCTGCAGCAGTAAATCAACACGCAACAATAGAGGAAGCGGTGTTTTCTGTGGGTCTACCCCGAGGGTCTATAACGAGGATCTCACGCAGCTAAAATTAGAATTGAGTTGAGAGTTGAGCTCCGCGAAGATAAGTGAGAAGAGATGACAGTTGAAGCAGAGAATGGAGTTCCGGAGTTGGCAGTTGCAGCAGAGAATTCAGTTGAGTTCTGGAGTTTCAGGTGAGCAGTCACTTGAGAGTTGAGCTCTGTGAAGATGAATGAGAAGGGATGGCAACGAGATAGTTGGCAGTAGCTGTCAGAAGAAATGAGTCGAGTTCCATAGTTGGCAATCGCAGCAGGTAATGGAAAGTCGGCAGTCGAATGCGATTGTGGAGAAATGACAAGAAAGGAATTAGACTGTGCAATAAAGATTTCACGTGTGCTGCAATGACAGTGAGACTGTTATAAAACCGTTGCTAGGATACGACTAGTGAAAACTTAACCTCTCCTAGTGACTTGTAGTGTGGAAATCAGCGATGGCGCTGTAATTACGTTAGTTCTGAGCGTTATGTATAAGCCGTCAATAAATCGGCTCAACCAATCCAATGCCCGTCTATAAGTCACGCACACCCCCAGATACGTGACAGTATTGAATGATAGCGGGTATAACTTCCCATAATGCTTTGATTTCGTTTTCTTGAAGAAATCGCACAAAGTGCGAAATATTCGGTTATATGCCCTTTATCTACACCTTAAAAGTGGGCCAGCCGTTTCGAAGTTACTAAGGAGAACACAGGCTTTCAAGCTTGTGCATCTCCACCTTTAGATAATTGTCTTCGGAATTCGCTGTTGTCGTAAGTCGCCCAGAGGAAGTAAGGCCGTTGTCAATGAGACTGGATTCTGGCACGTGTAGTGACCCATCTCCTTTCCGTACTTCTCAGACCTGCAGAAATACAAGAACGCAGACCAACGCAACAAAATTTCCGTCACCGGAATGTGACAAATTTAGAATATCCCTGAACATGTTTGACGTCAATCGCTGTTACGTAAACTTGAATTAAACCGGTTGTATGGCCAGACCTTGGTTTTCGTGAAACCTCTCCCTGCGGTTCAAAGAAGATCATACTATAAGCTCATTGGACGCACAACTTACCTTCATTCTCAAGATTCGCATTTGGAATGCTTGCCGCTTTGTCGGTTATCCAATCGGGACAGCTACGTGCTGCCTTTTTCAATGCATAACTGCCATGTGCGTGATAATATTTATGTTCTCATACATTTGCGACAGTTCGTAAATGGCACAACACAGACGGTATTTTCTAGCTTCACATAGCGCACAGAACTGCCAGTACGCCTGAGGTGTCGTCAGTTCCTTCAGATAGCGATGCAGTTATACTTTAAAATAACCAGTGCCACTTTAGTCGACTTCCTTCCCAATTCATGCCATATCATTTTTCAGTTGAACGTTACATACGGTATGTGATTTGACTACGTCATTGAATAGTCTGACATAAGACACAAACAGAAGTCTCAAACACTAAGTTACCGAGCAGCTTCGTTCTGTTCTTTGCGTTTCTTTCCATCTCTCCTGTGGTAACAGCTATGCCAGCCCGCAAATAGCTTGGCCAGTCACCTCGCATGTGCAGTAGCAAGGAATTGTCACGTGTTGACTCTGAACCAGTAAGCTTCTATCGGTATAGGAAGCGGTTCCTACACTCTAGCGGTGCGAATTGGTATTCATATTGCGAAAATGATTCTTCTCAGTGATTTGTGAGGCGCTGGTTTTAATTACATTCTGTTTTAATTTTGGTAATGGAAGCCCAACAAAGGAAGCATCAGGTCTTGCATAAATAAGACAGACATGTATTTTTTAAGCTTTTGGCCGTTTCAGGTGTGAAGTAGACACTTCACATCGTTATCAAATGTCAGAAATTCATGGATGCACGTGGTATTGGATTGAGGACTTCAGCGCAGTGTTAACGAAGGCAAATCGTCGTTTAATACAAGAGGACGTGCAAATGTATATCTCCGGGTAAACATTTGCAGAAAGTGAAACATATGACAGGTATGGGTAATTTTATCAAGAATATGACGTGAAGGTTTCGTTTTTTATGAAAGGGGAAAGATTCCATGCCCGAAGAAGATGGTTGCCGAAACAAATGATACTGTATAATTCGAAGGGAACGAGACTTCGACATCAAGAATTTAGAAGTTCAGGGGTTTAAATTCTCCAGATGCAATTATGGTAGACGGCTGTTAATGGAACGCTGTGTTACTGTAGCTACGAGGGCAATGTTCTTAAGAGCAGTGCTTGAAACTAAACAACCAACGGTTGAAAATATATATTACTTAGATGCGACATACAGATGAGAACGACACTCAGAAGCTGTTGGAAGATTGGTGACGAGTAGGGTGACCAACTCTCCCGTATTTCCCGGGATATCCCGTATTAGAGCTAATTTTTTTGGATCCTCCCGGCTCCAGTATTGACCTTCTATTTCCCCCGTATATTTCATTGACAATCAAGATCGCAAAATTTAAATTATATATTATTCCCGCCAAATACATTCCGATATAAACTGTCATTATTATCGAAAGTTTAGACTTAGAGGTACTCATCGATAAATATCGAAAAATTACCTATAATAATCGATAGAGAGTTTAGCATATACTAATCGATAGCGGAATATCCGTTTCCGGATTGTAATATTTTCTGTTCTTGCTTCTTGCCGTGTTCATCCTCGTGCTTTTAAATAATTACCAAATTGAATCCATTTTCATAATGAGTAGTGACAGTGAAAGTGAAAGCAACAATTCAAAAACTCCACCTAAGAAGAAAACCAAATACTTGTGTGTTTACTTGAGAAAATGGGGAGAACAATATTTATGGTTAAAGTCCTTGCCCTCCAACGTTTACAGAGCTTACTGTATACTTTGTAAACGCGAGTTCAGCATCGCTCACGGGGGTAATACCGACTGCAGACAACATTCTTGCACAGAAGGGCATAAACGAAAGGAAAGGGACGCGAAGACCTCTTCAAATTTACACCTCTTTTTCGGAAACAGCAGCAAAGACTTCAAAAACGTTGCAGGTGAGCTAGCATTGGTTTTACATACTGTAAAACACTCGGCTACAGAAGTATGGATTGCGCAAATAAGTTATCGAAGGATATTTTCCATGACTCTAACTTGGCTAAGATGACGTCCTGTGGCCGAAGAAAGGCAGAGGCTATTGTGAAAAATGTTCTAGCGCCAAGAAGTGTGCAAGACTTCATCGATGTGTTGAAGGATCCAGCAAAATCAAGCAACTTTTTCTCTATTGCAACTGATGCCTCCAACCACAAAAACAGAAAGATATTCCCGCTGGTTGTGAGGTATTTTGACCCTCTTAGTGGTGTTAAAAATAGGCTCCTGGACTTCATTGAACAAGCTGATGAAACAGCTAATGCTACCCATAATTTGATCAAGTCTTCACTTGATACACACAAGTTAGATATAAAAAATCTAACTTCATATTGTGCAGATAATGCAAATGTGAATTATGGGAAGCATAATTCTGTGTTCAAACTACTACAAGAAGATAACAAAAATGTGCTTAAAGCAAACTGCTCAAATCATATATTGCATAATGCCACAAAACATGCATCTGATGGATTAGATGTGGATATTGAAATGATCATCTTAAAAATACATGGACACTTTTCGGTATCAGCAAAAAGAAGAGAAGAGTTGAAGTCATTCTTTGATCTTGTTGATGCCGAGTGGTTGGAGATTGTTTGTCATGTGCCTACTCATTGGCTTTCCCTAACATCAGCTGTGGACAGATTAATACAAAACTGATTACCTATTTTAAGTTATTTCAAAAGTGTGAATCACTGTCCAAAAATATTAAAAAAACATTTCAGTGATAAAGATCCAGAAAATGAGTGTGTTATTGAGGCATATCTTAATTTTTTTTCCAACATTGGTGCAGTACTTGTTCAATCTGCCAAAATTCTTGAAACTGCTAATCTTAGCATCATGGAATGCTACAGTGTAATGCAATGTGTAGGCAATAAAATTCAGCAGAGGATAGAGGACAGGTTTTTTTGGTACTGCCACGGAAAAAATTTTAAACTGTTTGAATCCACCCCTGCAGAAATGTGCTAGAGATGATTTTGTTAATTTCTACTGTTGCTTGCACAAGTACATTTCTAAGAATTTTGAGTTATCAAATGCAAATCCTGCCATTGTCTTTTGCCATTAAATTTAAACACTGAACTTTCTTTCAGACATTTTCAAACCATTGTAAAAGAATTTAATCTTGATTTTGTAAATGAGGACAGCCTGTATGAAGAGTTTTCTAGTGCAAAAAGTGTTCTGAATGTGGTAAAAACAGGACGTATAGAACAAAGTTGGGTCAATATTTTCAGTGATTTAAGAAACAAACAAATTGATGTGCCAAACCTTATTAAGATCTTAGGCTTTGTTTTAAGCATCCCAGGCTCAAATGCTCATACTGAAAGAATTTTTTCACTGATGAGCAATAAATGGACTGATCAGAGAAATCAAAGCAGCTTAGAACTAATTAAGTCAGAGCTAATGGTAGCAATTAATTCTGAGTATAGTTGTAAAGAGTTTTTTTTTTAAATTTGCACAAGAACATAAAAAAAATGCTTAGTTCTGCAGCATCAGTGGACAAATACATATAGGTTAGGACTAAGAAACATGCAAATTTGTAAAATTTATTCTATATTGTGACCTGTATATTATATACAATGTAAATTAATTGTTTTGTTTAATACTATCCATTCCATGAACGTTTGCTGGACTGACGCCCCGCCGCTAAAAATGCGCAAAATTTGTCGTGACTAAATCTCCCTTAAATTCATGACCGAAAGTTGGTCACCCTAGTGACGAGTGAGGTGGCCGAAAGAGCGGTAGAGTTATATGTCATGTTGGATCAGCTGACGGATGTTTCGTTCCGGAAAGTAAGTTAATTTTTCGGTCTAAATCGGAAAGTAATACTGATTCAAACTCAAACTCCGTGGCCTGTAGTCCGAAAGCGAACTATTCCGACCGAGCAACCACCGCTTGTCGGCGAAGTTAGTGCCAGCTTAAAGGGGATAGAGGGCGTCGCGTGGTCAGCGCAACGGATCCCAACTGCCGTTAATCTCGGTTTTATACACCAGAGCCACCGTTTCCTTCAAATAGCTCCTCAATTATCCTCACGAGGCTGAGTGAACTCCGTTCGAGACCCACTACTTCTGAGAACGTCTGGTAGCGCCGGGACCTCTGAATATGTAAGCAGGATCTCTGACCACTAGACCACAGAGGCGGTCAAGTAATACTGATTATCAGGGGAAAATGACCGTCGAATTATTTGAAAAGTGGTTTCAAGAACAGTTCTTAACTGCACCTTGTCCCAGAATATCATTGTTACGGATAATGCTAGCTGTCTGTTATGTCGAAAATGTATCCATTTGCAGGTTGCAAAGAAGCGGATATAACTTGAAGTTCCACACGCTACTACACAGACACGTACAGAATTGTTGCAATTTTGAGACTATATATGGTGCATAAAAAGAAGTATTGATTTGATGACATTTCTAGAAGTGGAGGTCACATAGCAGTGCGTTTGTTCAATTATTATTACAAATACAGTCATACTGAACGTGTGAACGAGTGAAATCGCCCATTTCTGAAAAGAATAACACCTTTAAAATTGCGGGGGGTGGAGATTACGTCACGAGGCCATAGACAGCATTGACGCTTCTGTTTGGAATAATTGTTTCCGACATGCGGAGAACCTGCCGGATGAAGATACTGCGAAAAAAAATGGCCCAAGATGAGGTCATGGAGGCGATTGTAGTCAACCTGATGGAATGGGAATCAGATACGAGGATCGTACTGAAAGTCATGAGCAACAATTTTTGTAAAGTAACATGCTTTATTATTTACAAACCAAATACACCACCTCAATCTACAGACATTTTTTTATTTTTCCACATAATCGCCACTTCTTTGTACACATTTCTCCCAGCGTTCTGGGAGTTTGAAAATGACCCTTCTCAAAAATTCCGTTCCAGCCATCCAAAGCCACTGACGCACTGCTTTCTGAATGGCCTCCCTCGTCTCAAAACGTTGTCCACGCAGCTGATCCTTCACAAATCCGAAAGATGGTAGTCGGAGGGTGCCAGATCAGGGCTATAGGAGGGGTGTGGAAGAACTTCCCACCCCATCTTTGCAGTTGCTTCCAGTGTGACACGAGCGGCGTGGGGGCGAGCGTTGTCATGCAGGATGATGATGTTTCGTCCTGGACGTTTATCGCGCAATGCACGACGGAGCTTGTGCAGCATCTGGACATAACGAGCAGCATTGATGGTTTGCCCAGGTTCCAGGAATTCGACCAGAATAAACCCCTCTGCATCCTAGAAGACTGTCTGTGCCCACCACCATCGCAGCTGATGGCACTGTCTTTGCCTTATTTATTGATGGAGAATGCAACTGGTGCCATTCCATACCCTGCCGTTTCGTTTCAGGCTCGAAATTGTGAAACCACCTTTCATCACCTGTCACAATACAGAGCAAAAAGTCATCGCCTTCGTGTCGATATCTCTGCAGCAGTTGTGAGGTGATGCCTCTTCGCTGACCTTTGTGGTCTTCGGTCAATAACCGCGGGACCCAACGAGCACAAACTTTCCTATAGCCCAAGCTTTCAATCATCTCCTGTACTGTACTGTGCCCTATTCCAAGTTTTCAGGCTATTGTGTCCACAGTCACACGCCTGTCATCTTGAATGATCTCATCCACTCTTTACTTGTTGCATTCAGTTGAGGCTGTTTTAGGACGACCGCTCCGAGGGTCATCTTCGATGCTGGTGTTCCCACCTTTAAAATGTTTCCCCCATCTTCGAACACTGCTCGCACCCATGCACACTCCCATAAGCACGCTGAAGTCTCTTGTGAATTTCTGCAGCAGCGATTTCCTCTTTCACAAGAAATTCGATAACAGCACGCTGGCAAAACGACATCGTCGGCCGTTTTGTTAGGAGTGANACCGCTCCGAGGGTCATCTTCGATGCTGGTGTTCCCACCTTTAAAATGTTTCCCCCATCTTCGAACACTGCTCGCACCCATGCACACTCCCATAAGCACGCTGAAGTCTCTTGTGAATTTCTGCAGCAGCGATTTCCTCTTTCACAAGAAATTCGATAACAGCACGCTGGCAAAACGACATCGTCGGCCGTTTTGTTAGGAGTGATACTGGTCACGTGATGCAAGCTATTGACGTCACAAGACACTCAAGGTTAACACAACAACTGGTTCCACCTACCACCATGCTCTCTTTCGTCTGCTGTTCCCAGGTTGCATGCAAAAAAAGTTGCTCATGACTTTCGGTACGACCTACGTAGTTCGGCCAATGACGACGAACTGTTCTATCATTAGGCATATAATACGAGTAATAAATGACGCCGTACCTGAATTTTGTAAAACATGTGATGCATGTAAATCGTCATATGTAGTGCATGGCATCGTCGCGTTTTAGTAGCTCCGTCCTTTTCGGTGCAGCCTGGTATAACTTCTGTTTAACCTTGATTCTTACCGGGAGCTCTCCTTTTTTGAGTTTGTGAAGTACAAGTAAAGTTGGCGAGTTCAGAATCCTAAAAGGTGTGTTTTGTATGCAGTCCGGATATACGTCATACGTGTATATAGTGCGTTGTAATTCGCCGCGGACAGCAGGCAAATAGCAAGGTGATCGTCAGACTGTTCTGTGGTGCACATGCGTATGCTAGGCGTTGTTACTGGTTAAGTGACTCATCGAAGTCAATGACTGCGGTAACGCTTTAGGTTTGTCTTCGGGAGGTGCTTGGTTCGAATTTTGGGCCTAAACTTCGGCTGTCCTGAGCTTCATTTATTTTTAAAAGGCATATGTCAGTATAGTACAGGGTGGGGCACAGAAACTTCCTTCTTGTGAAGGGAGGGGAGATCGCAGAAAAGGGGGGATAGGCTCGGCGAACGCAGCAGCCGCGGAAGTTTCTGTCTAATGCCCCTCAGTAGGAAACGAGATGGACGAGTGAGCAGCGTGCGTTTGCTGTCGAAGCCTGTTTTTCGAACAACCATTCCTATGTGGCGGTGCAGCCTGCGTTCCGTACTCACTTCGGAATTAAGCTCACAGGTCCGGTTCCCGACCGGCAATCGATTGTTGTGTGGGTAGAGAACTTTAGGACAACCGGGAGTGTGGTGAAAAAATCATCAGGACGACAACGGACTGTTACGACGCCAGAAAATGTGGAGGCAGTTCGACAGTCGATTTTGAGATCTCCAAGACGCTCCGCTCGCAAATATGCAGTCGCCCTAGAAATATCCAATCGTTGAATGTGCCGAATTCTTCACGAACATCTTAATTTCCATCCCTATGAGATGATTGTTGTGCAAGAATTGTCACCACATGATTTTCAGAACTGAATAACGGCGTGCGAAACGATATTGGAAACTTTACCCCCTGACGCTCTTGTTTTCTTTAGTGATGAGGCACATTTTCACCTATCCGGATATGTCAACAAGCAGAATATGCGCTATTGGAGTGGTAACAATCCCAGAGAGGTCCACGAGAGGCCACTTCACAGTGATAACGTGACAGTATGGTGTGCGTTGTCGAGAGTTGGAGTTATTGGCCCTGATTTTTTTGAAGAAGACAATCGTGCAGTTACTGTCAATTCACAGCGGTATGTGGACATGATTAAAAACTTTTTCGAACCAGCTCTTGAAG